TGTATGTATATATAACTACCATACGTATTGGCAGCACTTTATAAACAATAACAACAGTATAACATGTCGATAACATTTATACGTTTATTTACCATTCCTCTTATTTGGCAGCTGATCTCATCCTTTGCTCAGAGGGTAAGGAGCTCCTGTACCTTACTGTCTTTTCAGTTTGCGGACATTTTCGGCCCATGTTCTTTTTCTTTAAATTAGCTGCTAACTGCTATTAATGGTTTTTTAAGTCTTCCTCAGTGGGTCACATGCATAACATGTTGTCAAACGTCTCAACCTTGCAGTCCTGCCAACTTTTACACAGATGCTGATTCAGTGCGGTCACCTCCACTGCAAGCACAAAGGTAAATTTTGCAGGATTTTCGGTTACTGTTTGTAAACAAGTTTGCCAGCGAGTAAAAGCTAACTCCAGATTCACTCTTGTTTGGTTTTTGCCTGGCTATTTTTGCTTCTTTTTTACGTGCTGTGCAAGCCTGGAATTTCGTCATTTTAGGGGCAAGGCCACTAGGCCTTTCCTGTTGTCAATTTTTTGAGGGCACAAAGGCCAAAAGCCAGGGCAGCAAGGCCATAAAATAAAGCAATGATTTAGCAAGTCCACATCCATAATGAATTTAATTTAAGGACTAAGGATGTATAACTATCTGTGAAATGAATAAATAAAACAAGCTCAAGTAATAATAATGAGTATAATAAGTAGTAATGTGATTTATTTAATAGCACTAATAAACCCAATGTGTTTTAAATATAGAACAACCAGGTTTATGTATTTATAAGCAAACAATCTTAATATGTTTTGAGTGTACATGATAAACTGATTCACTGAACAAGACTGGCTTACAATTATTTTTGATGTGTTGTTAGATAGCTAACAAGCAAACAAACAAACTACAGCAGGGCTATTCAATTACTATTTCAACTGGGCTGCATTTCAAAACCAGATTATGTCAATGGGCCACATTTTTAGCAGCAAGCAACCGATCCACTTTTTTTTGCATACATATATATATACATTTATATACAGGCATGGCCCTCCTCAACATGATGCAGAAACAGACTAAAAAGAGCTATCAATGCACAGAAGCATAATAAGTGACATTAACAGTATCTAATAACACACACTCTCTCTCTACCATCTCCCTCTTTCCTCTCCTCCACACACACACATGCACACACCTCACCTCCTGACATTTTCCTTATAGGTCAGATACACAGGATATAGTTTTATACAGTCCATGGCAGCAACAGTCATGTTTACAACAACAAAGTCACAATATAAACTCAATAATATCTCACTGGAATATAAATATTCCTCCTGACATCACAATACTGAGTGAAGAAAGTCACGTTATCTCAGCATGAAGACAAACATCAGTATCAGTCATTCATCCTGCTCTCTGTCCCTCCTCTACTGAGGACGCTCACTGTCTGCAGGTCGGCTGCCTCAGGTACATGTTCAGATAAAGTGTTAGCCTACACACAGACAGCTTTCATTTTAGTTTGTCTTTAACACTTTGCTGTTAGCCCCGCAAGCACGAATGAGAGACTGTGGACAGAGTAGACTGAAATAGGGTCCTATGTCTTTCTACATGCTGATCACATGTATTGATAAAGTATTGGCTTGGCTGGCAGAGGTTTTATCGCACTTACCCACAGTAACAAGCGCAGCTGTCGTTAACTAGAGCAATCTTGAAGTTATATTCCCTTCATCTGAAACTGAAACTTTAAAAAGTAACGCCAATAATGGCGGAGCTTACTATTATTACGGTGTTGATTAAATTTACCTTGGGTTGTTTAATACCGGGTCTCGGTACCGATCCCTGCCCAGGCGTTTGATGAAGTCTCCTGGTTGGCCGGTGAGAGACTGGTGTCAAACTGTCTTTATAGCCTGTCCGAGCAGTTCATGCCAGGCTCCAATCAAACCCACCACTGATGATGTACGCATCGTCTCATTCGATGTTGCTCAATAAGTATCCAGAATGTCATTGCATTTTTTTTTTCTCAAAAGGGGTGTCAAAGCCATGTTGACAGGAAAGAGACAGAGGAGAGAACCGCAAAATCAACCAGGGCAGTGCGGGCGGGGCATCAAGGCAGAAATTTGTGAAATTCCTGCCCTGGTGCTGTGTCTCCTGGATGCCTGCTACTTATAGTCTGGTGGCTTACTTTTTATAAAGCCCTGACCTCACCTGAGCGCTGAGGTGGTACACGCCTATGAAGGTTTTTCCCCGGTAAAGGGTTTTTTTGGGTTGGTTTTTCCTTGTCCTCTGTGAGGGTCCAAAGGATAGAGGGATGTCGTATGCTGTAAAGTCCTCTGAGGCAAATTGTGATTTCTGATATCGGGCTTGGTACACCACCAAACGCTGACAGTGACTCATAAGTGATGATGGAGAGGGATTACTGCTGCATGAGTCTGAACAGTGTTTTTTGGGAAAATCTGCAGAGTATTCCTTTAAAGGTGAGACAACTCTGTCCCCCCATTCTGCAGTTGTACCTTTTATACAGAACGTCAAAGCAAAATTACAGCACAACATTCCTGCCTTGAACAGGCAGTGTGAAAGGGGCTAAAGACAATGTTGGGAGGTAAAATGGCAGCAGTTAGGTATGTTTAATAGTTTAGTATGTAAACAACAGAGTAATATATAATATGATTAAAGGTCCAGTGTGTGGATTTTAGGGGGCTATAATGGCAGAAATGGAATATAGTGTTTTTTCTTAATTGTAAAATCACCTGAAAATAAGAATCTTTATGTTTTGTTTACCTTAGAATGAGCCAACATACAGAGTCCTCTTCCATCGAGTCCGCCAAGGGGGTTTCTTCAGTAGCCCAGAACAGACAAACCAAAGACTGGCTCTAGAAAGGGCCATTCATGTGTTTGTGTTGGCCAACGTAGCTCTCCCACACGCTTGGAAAGTTTCAGTTCCGCACCCTCACTGCCACCAAATCCTACTCACTGGACCTTTAAGTGATGATACTGAGTGTTTGTGTGTATTAATATAGAATCATATGAGACTCGTGGTGGTGATGTGGTTTATGAGTCTGTCCAGGTTGCTGGTTGAATTCCCTGACCTGTCCAGCTAATACATACTGTTACAGCGGTATCAGGAGAAAGACGGTTCTTAACATGCCTCTGCTGCCCAACCTGGACCTGAAGAATGACCCGGTACACACACACACACTTTCTCTGATACTTTTTTAACACACACCTCAAAAGTTTATAATCAGCTGTTATATTGATGTTCTTCTTTTTTCCTTCAATTTTAACTATTTGAACAAGAGAAGAAGAATGAAATGAGTGGATGTCCCACAGTTTCTCTTGACTGGAGAATGCTGTGTAAACGTGGATGTTTAATTTGTTTTCAGTGTCCACCGATCATTATTAAACCACAGTGGAGTGACTAGGCTCTATATATTGAGGTAGTTCTTTGCAGTGTCTCGTCTCGAATTAGAGGTTCGGCTGAAGAGATTTAAACTGGACTACAGATTGGCCGTAATGGCTGAACAGACAAAGAAAAGAGCTTCACCTGTAGAAACTGTTCCTCACACATATGTAACAGCCCAGTTAACATTTCCTTCTCTTCGTCTCCAGGCAGAGCTGACTGAGCTGGTCCAGACGTACAAGCAGGAAGTGACAGAGGCGGCATGTGAGCTGATCTGTGATTGGGCGCAGAAGATCCTAAAGCGTTCATTCGACACGGTGGTGGAGATCGCTCGTTACCTGATCCAGGAGCACATTGTCAACCCTCGCTGCAGCCAGGCCGAGCTGGTGACCTCCGCAGCGCTGGCAGGTGAGTCTGTATGTGTGGATGTGTGTGTGTGTGTGTGTGTTTGTACTTGTACATGCCACATAATGAGGACCAAAATATGTATTTTGAGTGAGGAAATTTTTTGGAAAATTGAGGACATTTTAGCCCACCCTCACCTCTTTAAAGACCTGTTTGAGGGTTAAAACTTGGTTTTAGGGTTTCAGGTAACAATTTTTAGGTGAGGGGATTACGGAATAAATGATGTCAATGAGGGTCCTCACAAAGATAGAAGTGAAAGAATATGTGTGTGTGTGTGTGTGTGTGTGTGTGTTTTCAGCCCCTTTTCCACTGCTTCTTCAAGGCAGGAATGTCTCACCATTATTCCGCCTTGTCGTTCTATGTAAAGGTGTGATTGCGAAATGGGGCGACAGAGTCGTCCCAACTTCAAGCTGGCAGCAGAGGTAGTTACAGCAGCAAATCAATGTCTCTGTAAAAAGGACACCCAGCAGGATGCAACCATGGACAGTGTGACGTTTTGGTGATGTGTTATGTGTGCGACCCATCATAGGAGATTAGCAGCAGTTAGCAGCTAACTCAAAGACGAACAGCGACCATAGTATCCACAAATAGTGAAAACAATGAGGTCCAGGAGCTCCGTACCTTTAGAGCAGAGGACAAGATCAGCCGCTATATAACAGGGACAGTAAATGATTGTTAGTGACATGTTCATGTCATTGTTTTTGTTTCTAAAGTGCCATTGGTGCGTATATAGCCCCGTTTCCACCGAGCAGTACCGTACAGTTCAGTTAGGTATGCTTTTTTTCTGTTTCCACTGTGAAAAATTGTGGATGGTACCAATGGAACCGTTCCGTATCGTACCAATTTTTGGTCCCCCCTCTGTTGGGGTACCTAGCACACAGATCTGGTACTTAAAGGTGGAGCTGTGAACACTGCAGTCTGTTGATTGGTTAATAGTGGACAGTCACTTTGCTCAGGGCTGAGTTGTGGCTAGTTTTGAGGCTTATATGTAACCACTGTTCATACTGTGGAGAGTCTTATACATCAGTAGACTGTAATTATAAAATAAAGGATGTTTTGCTGCCTCTCGCAGCAGCTGCAGACTGAGAAAAAAATAATTTGATTCACTGGGCCAACTTGTAATGTAATGTTACTCTGGGGCATCAGTGGCTTTGTGGTTAGAGCAGGCGCCTCATGTGCAAAAGCTCTGTCCTTGCTGCAGCGGCCTGGGTTCAATTCCAGCCTGTGGCCCGGGTTCAATTCCAGCTTGTAGCCCTTTGCTGCTTGTCACTCCCTCTTCCATTAAAGGCAGAACGCTCCAAAAAAAAAAAGAAATTAATTGAGCTGACGACATGAATCCATCAGCATGCCTTAAATTTCACTGTGACAACTTTGATCATTAATTTTTATGTGACATACACTTTTAGTAATGAATGGAGCTTCAAGCGTTGTTTTTTATATTAATTTCGACAGGATAATGTGACCTGCATATATTCTAGTGCTGTTCCTGTGAGCTATGACAACGTTAAACCCCCAAGCTTGCCTGAGAAGGACCAAATGTACAAACCTGCTATTTTTAAATATCCCATGGAGAGAGACTCTCACTGCAGCCTGTTCTGTTTTGTTCTGAAAATGTCGGCCGGCCCACTTGACATACTGCTGTGCTGTGCTATGGCCTATTCAAGTGCTGGAATTTGTTATTTATGTAACAACACATGAATGTTACACAGGCTCCACTCCAACTGAGTGTTTGTACAGTGCCGTGCTGCGCTGCTGTGTGAGCAGCGTGTATGACTGTGGGTAACAGTAGCCTTTTGATGGTCATTTACACACTGTCCATAACAATAACTATGTCAGATAACAAACTGCGTTGGGTTTGGGACAGGTTTGGACTTAAAAATCAGAAAGTCTTTCCTGTCGTGTTCGGGCCGGGCTCAGTCATAATTGTCTCGGACTCGGGTCAGGTTTGGTCAGAAAAATGCGGCCGGCATTAGCTCCCCTAATAGTGTTGTCACAGTACCAAAATTGGGACCACAGTACGATACCAGTGAAAGTATCACGGTTCTGAGTAGTATCACGATACCAGAGCAAAAATGAGGCAGATGTGCCTTTTGTCATTTATAAAAAGATAAATCACTTTTCTATAATACATCACCGATATTTCAATGGAATAAATTACTTATTGACTTATTCATACTTCAAAAACAGCATCAATAAGTGATTAACATAGGGGGGGATCAAAATAAAATAACTAAATAAAATAAAAATCAACCAGCCACCCTTCTCCTCTGATAAGTTAAGAACAGTCCCTAAAGTGCGGTAAGTTTTGTGGACCGTTACCTGCCCCAAAGAGAGAAATGTGAACGGCAGGGTTGGGTCGGTATGAGGGAAAAAAAAAACGGTCAGGTTTTTGTGAAAAGCCACATCAAGTCGGTAATACCCGATTTTCGCCACTTGGAGGCGCAATTGACTCATTTAAAATAAAAAACGACCATAGGACAACAGAGTGACAGTAACACAATTTTTTTTTATTCCTTACAAATAAATTTGCAGGTTTAGCTTACTCAGTCAGTGCAAACAAGGGTTGCCTCCTTCGTCTGGCTCAAAGCCAAAGTGTTGCCATATTGGTGCATTCTTTGATTTCTTAGAGACTAAATTGTCCGCCAATATCGATTCCCCTTCACTGTTAAACAAACTCCAGGCTACAGTAGAGGCCTTGGCGCATGCGCACTTGCACCCCCTAGCTCAGTCCCCACCCCACCCCCACCCCCCTTTCTCTCCGGCTCGCTGTGCGCTTGGCGAAGAGGCAGACACAGGCTGTAAAATGACATTTGCGGTCCGGTCGGTCTCACACAAAAATAAACCTGGTCCAAGACAGAGTACCGAACCGAATTGGTATTACCGAGAACCGACCCAACCCTAGTGAACGACTTGTTTCTCCTCTGACACGCCACATACCTGTGTGCCACCACGGCTCGGCTGTTCAGGTTCTTTTGGGCAGTCATGACACCAACAAAGAGGAAATTATTGGACCTGGAGCTGGGCTTCTCGGTCGCCGGTAAGCCGTTATCTTGTGGTGGCCATAGTGCTCCACCGTATTGACCCCTGTTCAACCTACAACCGGAAGGATTCGCCTTTCGTTTCTGCTGCTGGTTGAAATCTGTACTCGCACAGCATGCTCCTGAATGATTTCTTTTGCTCGCACAAAACTATTTTTAGTTGCAAATGCAAGTAAAATACTCGCACCATAGAGCTTTGTAGTGGAAAACAAATCACTGTAGCATATATAACCAAATCTAACCTACAAGTAAAAAGAAATAAATAATAACTTTCACTGCTTAAAGATACTCAATAGCTCAGCTAATACCTGAAATGTCACTGGAAAACAAACCACTGCAGCAGCATATTGAGTGCCAGGTGGCCAGCGCGTTATTGGACGGCGCATGGACACTCACCCTCTTGCGATTGGACTTTGGACCAGAGATACTGGATAAAGGAGATACCCCGCCGTAGGCTTATCCAATGTTAAGAAAACGGTTACTCTTCCTGTCTCACCACATCACTCTCCACCACCGTGTTGAACAGAGGATCTGTGGATGTCTGTGTATGCGGATCGAGAAGCAGGTGGAATGAAAATACATTCTTCCTATTATTGCAGCCTGTTGCTGCACAAAGCTTGGGCATTTTTTATTTATTACTAGCGGTAAGTAACTGTTTGTAAGCTAACTGTGATTTTACCGCCTGTTCATCAAGATCACGAGATCTCACGAGAACTTGTTTTCTGAGACGGACAGGGCTCAAACAAAGTTAACTTTCTCTTGATCTGTGCTGATGAAAAATGCAGCTTTAGTGTCAGAATGTTGGTAAGATGTGTGGCTTGTGGAAAATGAACCCATTATTTACTTTAGTGACTATAGTGTGAAAGAATTGACCATAAATTGTGATCACTTTCATTTTCCTCATTGACGACAATACATTCAGAGCTGCCGCAAGTCTCCTACGGGGGCGTGGTGCTGACGTCACTGAATCAAGAAGTGAGCTGAGTGGGGTATCTCGCTTTATCCAGTAACTCTGTTTGAACTTATCCCACAGTAGTGGTACCATGAGGTACCGTGGTACTACGGTAATCCAACATTATGGTATCATATGTACCGTGGTGTTTTAGTACCGCGGTCTACCGTTGGTACCAGTATGCCGTGCAACACTACCCCCTAGGGATGGGTACCGAACCCCGGTATTGAACAAGCCCCGGGGCTACATTCTTCAAGACCATAGTATTGATAAGCTCTGACGTTAACGGTTCTGCTATCGGTACTGGAGCAGTCGCAGGTTTTTGTTTTTTTTTGTTTGTTTGTTTTTGTTTTGTTTTACAAGTTAAACCTTATCTTGCACATTTATCTCACCAACTCGTCAATTATCTGTCACTGTATCATGATTTTCGCTATTCTCCCTGAAGACGAGAGATCTGTCTCGCTCACCCTGGCTGCCTGCTGTGTGTGAGTGGAGAGCAGGGGGGCAGGGCTGTTGTTCCAGTGACACACACACACACACACACACAAGACAGCGCATACACCAACTCAAGCTCGTAGCCTACCTTTAGATAGATAACGATGGCAGAGAGAGCCAAATGGTCAAAAGTGTGGCTTTACATTACCAGAGTTGATGCAGACACAGTGCGTTGTCACAAGTGTGACAAATGTTTTGCTTGTAAGGGCAGCAACACTAATAATTTGTCAAAACACCTTGCGAAAGTGCATCATATTCAGACAGAAAGATGTACAGGGTTTGACTGCCCTAGCACAGCTAGTTCATCTACGTCCAGTCCAGGTTTGTAACATTATGCTAGCAGCCAACACGTGGAGTTAATAACCATTAGCTATTTTGCGACCATATTTACTTAATAGGGTTTCAGATTTGGGATTTTATTTGTGTATTTTTCAGATACTTCTAAATACATGAATATAACCACAATTAAAGCCTGGGCTGGGTGCGTGGGATCCCCCCCCCCCCCCATATATCCATAGTGATTAATGTTACATCACCATATAAAATATCTAGAATACCTAACATACCTAGAATACCTAATATTTTTACTTGTAGGCTAGATTTGTTTATATATGCTACAGTGATTTGTTTTCGAGAGAGCTGTATGGTGGGAGCATTTTACTGCATTTGCGACTACAGATAGTGTTGTGCAAGTAAAAGAAATCATTCAGGAGCACGCTGTACGAGTACAGATTTCAACCAGCAGCAGGCAAATCCTGTTGGTTGTGGGTTGAACGGGGGTCACAGACACAGACAGGAATACGTATTCCTGTCAAATACGGCGGCCATAGTGCTCCGTGGCGCAAGTACGGCTTACCAGCGACGGAGAAGCCTGGCTTCAGGTCCAATATTTTCCTCTTTGTTGATGTCATGACTGTCCAGAAGTACCTGAACAGCCGAGCCGTGGTGGCACACAGGTATGTGACATGTCAGAGGAGAAACGAGCCTTTCACATTTCTGTCTTTGTGGCAGGTAACGGTCCACAAACCTCACCGCACTTGAGGGATTGTTCTTTATTTTGATCCCCCCTATGTTAATCACTTATTGATGCTGTTTTTCAAGTATGAATAAGTCAATAAGTAATTTATTCCATTGAAATATCACTGATGTATTGTAGAAAAGTGATTTATGTTTTTATAAATAACAAAAGGCACATCTGCCTCATCATACTGTGGGTCCCAATTTTGGTACCGTGACAACACTATTATTTTATGTATTTTACATTTCAAGTTGTAAAAAGTAAAATGTTTTGTTAAAAAAATATTTTGTTGCATAATGAGAATTGAGAAAATAAAGCAATTTATGTTCTTGATTTGTTTTTTTCTTCCTCAAAAAGTATCGATAAGAGTACCGTTAAAATACCGAATCGATAAGCAGTACCGATAAGAGTAGTAGTTTTGTTATAATCCTAACGATACCCATCCCTACTACCCCCTAATATAATGGTAGGGGAAACACTGCATCAAGCAAGACTCATGATAGCATTTATTTATTATACTGTAATCGCAATCTCAAATCGCCCACTAAAATCGCAGTCGCACATTTTTATCGAATCGTGCAGCACTAAGATGGACCTGTTCTATAGGAAAGGTAACCTTAAATGACTTCTGTTGTGACCTGGCGCTATATAGAAAATTTAATTAGATAAAATTAACTTGACCTTCTGATATAATGGTAGGGGAAACACTGACACTGTAAAGAAGACTCTGTTACAAGTTTTTTTTTTTTTTTTTTTTTTTTTTTTTTTAAAGGGTAGTTTAATAAATAGCATTAGAAGAGAATTGTTGTAAAACTGATGTTTGTTCAGGGATGATTGACGGCTGAGTCATCTGTTTGTCTGTCTGCAGGAGGTCCAGCCAAACCCCACAAGGTCATCAAGAAAACACCCGTCATCTCCAAAGCTGAGAGCGACCTAGCTGCTGATCAGAAGGTGATCATGTGTTTCTGTTCAAACATTGATCACTTATTGATAATTTGTCACTGCTGCTCATTACTTCCTATTGGTCTGTCTGTCTGTCTGTCTGTCTGTCTGTAGAAGGAACACACTGACTCGTCCTCCTCCTCTTCATTAAAGCCCCTGCCTGGAGATAAATCAGCTGCAGCAGCCAAACCTTCCTCCTTGGATGCTCCTCCTCTTCCTCCCACCTCGTCCTCTTCCTCCTCTCTGCGTCCTGCGGTAGGTTGATAACTGTAGGACCCTCTTGAAAGTGAAGGAATTATTATTATTTCGCGCAGTGAATCTTATTTTTAAATTTAATTTAATTTAATTTTTAATTTTATATATGTATTTATATATGCGTGTGTGTGTCTTATTTTCTAGAAGTGCTCAAAAACTCATGAAACTTTGCATGTACATCAGCGCTGGTGAAAAATATAATATTTTACAGGTCTCATGATCGGATTTGACTAAGTGGCTCAGTAGTCCCCATAATACCTTTCACCTAGATGTACGTCCATTAGGAGGCACACGTAACATCCCAGGACTTGAGAAAAAGTCTCATGAAGCCATACCCTGAACCCAAAAGGAAGTCAGCCAATTTATATTGACTCTGCAATTTTAGTGTATTTTTTGTTATGCTTTTGTTATGCTTTAAGGAACCCTATCTAATTTTGTCTGTGCCATCTAAAGACCTTCGAGATGAAAAGTTATGATTGGCTTGAGTCCTGGTTGACCCATGTGTCGAGGCGTCAAATTTCCATGTCTTGTCACCAAACAGGAAGTGAATTGTAACTCCAGTGTACATGCTCCAGTCTGCCCCAATTCATTCAATTCAATTCAGTTTTATTTATAAAGCCCAATATCACAAATCACAATTTGCCTCACAGGGCTTTACAGCATACTACATCCCTCTGTCCTTAGGACCCTCACAGCGGATAAGGAAAAACTCCCCAAAAAAACCCTTTTAACAGGGAAAAAAATGGTAGAAACCTCAGGAAGAGCAACTGAGGAGGGATCCCTCTTCCAGGACTGACAGATGTGCAATAGATGTCGTACAGAACAGATCAACATAATAAATTTACAGTAATCCATATGACAAAATGAGACAGAAAGAGAGACAGAGACAGAGAGAAATTGAGACAGAGAAAGACAGAGCCAGAGAGAGAGAGATGCAGGACAGACAGTAGTGACAATAACTTACAATAACATTAATTTTAGTAATAATATTATAATAATAACAGTAATTGCAGTATCATATGTTGTTATTATATATTAATATATGATAGTATATGTATGTGGCAATAATAATCATGTGTATAATAATAGTATAAGTATGACTAATAATAACAGCAGCAGTAGGAGGCATCAGGCAGGACCACGGCAGCAGCACAACCATGTCACACCATCCAGGCGTAGCTGTGATACGAGGTAACCTGCCAGTCAGTGGAGCACAAAGGCTCCGGAGCAGAGGCCGAGTTAGTGACATGTAGTTAAGCCAAGTTAGCGATGTGCAGTAATAGGATGTGGATGTTAACATATGAGGAAGAACCAACTTTTCAGAAACTGAAGGGGGGGGGGGGCTCTGTGTATTATGGGAGGTCCCCCAGCAGACAAGACCTATGTCAGCCTAACTAGGGGCTGGTCCAAGCCAAGCCTGAGCCAGCCCTAACTATTAGCTTTATGAAAAAGGAAAGTCTTAAGTCTAGTGTTAATGTGGAGACAGTATCTGCCTCCCAGACTGAAACAGGAAGATGATTCCACAGGAGAGGAGCTTGATAGCTGAAGGCTCTGGCTCCTGTGTTTAGTTTTAGAGACTTGAGGAACCTCGAGTAACCCTGCATTCTCACAGCGCTCTTGTTCTTGTGGGATAATAGGGCACTATGAGCTCTCTAAGGAATGATGGAGCCTGCCCATGTAGAGCTTTGTAAGTTAGGAGAAGAATTTAAATTCAATTCTGGATTTAACAGGGAGCCAGTGCAGAGAAGCTAAAACAGGATAAATATGATCTTGTTTCTTAGTTTCTGGCAGTACATGTGTCACCACATTCTGCATCAGCTGGAGAGTCTTTAAAGACTTGTTAGAGCTACCTGATAATAGGGAATTGCAGTAAACTAGCCTAGAGGTAACAGAAGCGTGGACCAATTTTTCTGCATCTTTTTGGGACAGGATAGGCCCTAATATTTGCAATGTTACGCAGAATAAAGAACAAACATGTTCGATAGGAGTCCTGGTCTGAAGACATTTGCATGCCTATTTATTCATAGTCAGAGTGCCACCAACTCGCAACAGAAAATTTTATATGTCGGCGTAATGTGACGAAGATCATCTGATTTACATGGTGTGGTCAACACATGATATACAGCAACATGACGTATAATCAGTGTGTGTTTTCTAGCGCTATGTAGTGGACACAGGAAGTGGTACACAATTTACAATACCTCATTGCCAGTGCCACATACTCCACACAGTTAAGGGCCCATTTAATGTTAGTTACACAGATGGATGGAGCCTTGTGTTCATACTCTGCATTCATTTCGTCTGTATTTGGATACGTTTTCTGAGAGCTTAAAGATACAGACAAAATGTAGCAGTACCACCGCAGATCCTGTAGGCAGAGTAGTGTAGTTCAAGCCAGACACAACTGTAGGAGACGACAAAGAAATTTAACAGAATGAATCCATAATAGAGTGAAAAGAATTCTCCGTCCACATACTGCTGTCTACAACACTGTCCCCGTTTAAAACCTCTTGCACTCCACCCCCATTTTTTAGCGAAAACGCCTAAAATGACATACCCAAATTAAAATGACTGTAGTTTCTTGTGAAAGTGTTAGAAATACTCTAGGTGATACAGAGACAGAGTAATGGGCCTCTGAAGTCAGTAAAAAGATGAAGATTTTGCCTAAAATAAAAAATGATTTTCAGGATGAATAACTGTCTGTGGCTTCATCTGAGCAAGTAAATGACACTGTGGGGCTGTAGGCACACTATCAATGAACATTTGTTTCAAGTTTGAAGAAGATTGCTCAAAGTATGACCATTCTACAGTGTTTTTTCCATGAAAAGATCCAGGCGGAGCTCCAAATGACAGAGCGCTCACTCCGCTTCAAAACAGTACTGTCAGTGATCAAACAATACTCAGCCAGCTTCAAACATCATACCTTATTGAAATCAGGTGTGATTATGATAGCTGATGTTTATGACAGAAACACCATAAAATATCACCAAATAAAGCCATATGAAACGTGAAAGTTGTGATCAAACTTTCTAGGCGGTATATCTCAGCCAAAAATAGTGGTAGGAGTGAGAGCTCACCTTTTATAAACCAGCCAGGGCTCAACAATAAGGACTGCCCGATTGCAAGTAAAACTCACGGTCGGGCATGTAAACTAACAACTCACTTGCCCGATCGGGCAAGTTGCTAAAAATAGTAAAAGTTAATAACTAATTGATAAAATAAATGTATTTTAAAACATGCTCTTCTGCTCTGATGCAGCTGTCTCTCTGCCTGAAGTCAAAAGCACACGCTGTGTAACAATGTCCTGCCCACAGCCCTGATTGATAATATTTTGCACGACGGATGCTTCATATAATAACATAACAATATACTATTTATGGTGTTATGCCATCGTGTCATTTCTGTCTCTACATGGTCACGCGTTAACAATTCTCCTCTGCTCTCTGTATCGCGCATGGCGGAGTTCCGCCACACACACAGCTGAGCAGCATTTTCCTGACCAAACCTGACCCTGAGCCCGGTGCAGTTTGTCAGCTAACAAAGTTATTGAAATGGACAGTGTGTAAATAACCATCAACAGACTGCTGTTACGCACAGACAAACACGCTGCTCGCACAGCAGCTCATCACGGCACTCATGCTGAGCTTGTGTTGCTTTCAGTTGTTGTCACGTAAATAACAACTTCCAACACTTAAATAGGTCATAGCACAAAACAGCAGCATGTCATGTGACTTTTTACTTTATTATATTCAATAAAATTGTATGTTCCTAAATCTTGAGACGCCTCATATGTAAGCTAGACAGACATTTCACCTGCTCATACTGTGCACACATGTACTGTATGTACTTAGTCCTAAAGAGCCCTTCTGGTGCCAGTAGATACATAGAAACATCCCAGCAGGCTGTGCTTTGCAAGCATACAAAAAAGTTTAACGCATGTGAAAATTATTTTTCATGCGTGTGCTTCACCTCCGCTGCTACAACTCCATCCTAGGGAAACACTGCTGTGTGCATTTTGTGCAACAGGTGGATGTGGTAGTCTACTGGTAGAGTAGAGAGAGAGCTAAGTAGTGTTGAAGTAGAGTAGAGCAGGGCAGAGAGATGGAGCAAAATATATTAAACCCGGTGTTAATACAGCAGAACTGGAGAGAGGAGTGAAAAATAAATAGAGGTGGGCATGGCTCAAGTAGGGCGACAAATTTTTCACTTTAAGCCCTGACACTCATTTTTGTGTAGGAATTAAGCTACAATACATGACGTATGTTGTTTTAATTAATAAATACAGTGTGAATAAAGATTACATAACATAAAAATAACTGCAGTCTTTGTTATTTGATAGCCGCTTAAATTAAACAATTTTTATAGGGCAAGTAAAAACTGACTTTGGGCAAGTAGATCTCTGACCAACTTGCCCGACCGGGCAAGTGAAAAAAAAACCTTAGCGTTGAACCCTGCCAGCTATGTATTCCCCGGACAGCTCGGCATGAGATCGCGAGTAATCCTTTAACTTTTCCCCTCGAAAAATGGCATGACATGCCTTGTCACCACTCGTCACGATTTTGGACTTTGTGTATTTAGGCTGCTCTGGTGCGAAAACCATAAGGAATAAAAGAAAAACGATGCCGGATTCAGGAAGCCGAGAGCTCCCTGAATCCAGTGATACCAAACATCACATGGTTTGATGATGTAGTGCGCCTGTGAGATCCCATTTAACAGAGGAGGGAGGGAGCACGGACGCCAGCGTCCTAACAGAGTTAACGAGGTTAAAGGTACATTATTGCCACCTCCTCCACTGTCGACTCGTTTGCTGTTGTGTAAAATTTTTGACTCTGCCCTCTAAAGCCATCTATTGGCTGTATCAATGCCAACATCTAGGACACGTGGAAGTATGAGGGCAGAGATGTTTACAAGCTTTGAAATGGACATATCTATTTTTGTACATAATGAGAGTATAAGTGGGCCTTAAATCATGCCATGCACGCAGTGTCCCACAGCCACGTCGGCTGGCGTCCCACAAGTAACCCTGACATGCTGGAAGGCTTATGGGTGCGTCCATCAATGCTTGCAAATGTGTTGTGTGTTTGTGTGCTGTTTAATTTCAATCTTTGTAGGTAGAATTATCAGTAAGCACCATTCAGACTTTATTACTCTGTTTTTTCTCCACAGTTATCAATAAACAGTTCGTTTAGTAACATGATTACCTGTGATATGATGTGATACAGGTGGAGGCATTCATGAAGCAGTTACCCAGAATCCTCCCTCGGAGCTCCATCCCTGATAAGACCCAGCTATCGGTCCGCTCCTCTCCCCCCTCACTGGCTCCCAAAGATGCCTCAGGTGTCGGGGGGGCTTCTGGACCCGGAGGCCCAGCTGCTGCTGCTGCCGCTAGTGGTGGTGGGGTGAAGGTCATTGCCATGGCGACGCTGCCCCAGCAGCAGGGCGGGCCTGTCCCAGTGATGATCCTGCCTCAGGGCTGTCTGTCGTACGAGCGGGAGAAGGTTGCGCCCCCGCCACAACCTCCTCCTCCACCTCCTCCTCCTCCTCAGCAGCAGCAGCAGCAGCACACCCCTGCAGCCCCCACCTCAGTGGTCCAGAAAGCACGAGGGAACGCCAGCAAGCGCCCCCTGGAGGTGGTGGCATCAAGCGGTGGCCCTGTGGGTGTGTCTGGTGGTTCTGCTGCTCCTCCAGTGAAACGGAAACGTGGCAGACCAAGAAAACCTCGACCGGAAGACACCCTGCCTCCTCCTCCTCCTGCTGCTCTTTCTCCCAAGCCTCCCCCTCCTGCCCCTCCCTCCCATCCTCCCATCATCACCTCCCTCACCGGCGGCGTCATCCAGAAAGCTTCCTCCTCCTCCTCCTCCTCTTCCTCCTCCTCCTCGCAGCAGGTGCTGGAGCTGGTGATCCAGGACCAGCCGGGGCTGGTTGTCAGTCAGCTACCAGCAGTGTCGGACCCTGCTCACCGGCTGGTGGAGCACCGCGGGGTAGTGGTGCAGTGTCAGCCAGGTGGCGCAGTGGAGGCTGACCGCCACAGCAGGCCGCTGCTGCTGTTCCAGAGTCCAGGGAACCCCAGCTGGGAGCTGGCGGCGTCGGGACGGACCCCAATGGTGGAGGTCATCCAAAAAGCTCCTAGGCCAAGCAATAACAACAGCAGCACCGCTCCTCTACCTGCAGCACACCTCCACCCTCCTCCTCCTCCTCTTCCTCTGCCCACGCTGCACGAGGAGCGGGGTGAGGTTGAGATAACGTTGACGCCGGTGGAGCTGCACGTCAACCCGCCGCTGCCTTCCACCTCTTCCTCTGGTCTTGCCTCCTCTTCCTCCATCTGCTCCATCACAGCAGGGAAGAGTGAGGAAGAGGAGGCAGGAGAGGGCAGCAGCACCTCCTCAAAGAAAGAGGGACACTAGCTGTCATCACTCTTCTTCCTCCTCATCCTTTGTATCAGCCCTCACTCAGCTTTTACCTCACCTGCGACAAAACCCCACCCCCTTATATCCCCTCTTCCCTTATTGGTGGAAATCCCAGATTGGCAACAGCAGAGAGCCAATCGAGGAGGATAAATGAAGCCAAACCTCAACACTCTGTCCTTCCATCGGCTCTCATTGCACTTGTAAACAGACTGGATGCTGTTAGAAACCAGTGAATCTTTATCTGCATGTCTGTCTGTCTGTGTGTCTGTCTGTGTGTCGACTGAAACCAGCAGAACGACTCCTCAGGTGGCCGGACCTGAAATCAAACCTCTTCCTCTCTCATCTTCCCTTCCTTTCTTCCTTCCTTGCCTCCTTGTATCCTTTATCTCCAGACTTGTCATTTTCTGTGCTGAGGTTTGGTCGTCTGCTGCGTTGCTTCAGATCAGTCGATTTATAAAAAAAAACAAAAAAAACAAAACAAAACACAGATAAAAGAACAGAGTGATGTAAAGGAAGGAGAGAAGAGGAAGAGGGGAAGGAGACATGTCTCCAGGATTGAATCAAGCCCCAGATGAAGTTCAGCCTGGAGTGGATAGACACAGAAGATACTACGGGTCAGAGCCTTGTAAAGGTTCTTTGTGCTAAATATGAAAAAATGACCTCTTTAATGGAGCTCTGCCTCAATTCACCTTCACTTCACTTCATACAAATAAAACAAAATAAGATTTTAGGATGCTGTGCTGCAACTGTTGGACAATAAATCTGGATGTTTTCAAGCCTGTAAAAGTTAATTAAGTCAACAAAGAGTAAGTGGAAGTGAAAACAAAGTCCTGGATTGAATGTGAATTGAAGCTCGGCTCCACTCTCCTCTTTAAAGAGTTCCTCTGTTCTAAACAGCTTTGGTTTGTTGTGTTTGTGTTGGTTTAGTAGATGTTTCTGATTGCGTGTGTGTGTCTGTCTGTCTGTATGTCTTTGTCTGTGTGTGTGTGAGACAGGGAGAGTTTCAAGGCCCTCATCAACTACAGAAAAACGTTCACATGAAAGTCAGTCATTTATTTAGTCGAGGCTAATTATCAAATCCTTAATTCAGACTTGTTTTTTTTGTATTTTAGTGAGGTCGTTAATGAAATCGTTTAAAACTAATGAAAAACACTTAATGTCAGGTTCAAGTCTGTGGTGGGGGGCAGTCATGTTTGTAGTTTAAAGGCCTGTTTTTCCAAAAAGGCACCTTCAGCCTGGTTCCTGTTTACCTCAGTCTCTTATCAAACCTTTTATTGTTGCTTTAAAAGTTTAACTTTACAGCAAATTTCACTATTTGAAACGACTAAAATCTCACTTCATTGTAGAGCTGCGTGCAGCGCATCGATTCACCCAGCTCCCCCACATGCGATTAAAACACCTGCCCCACATTTTGATTTTTTAATTTTCCGAGCTGGACTGTTTATTTGGAGACTTTTTGAAATATATAAACCGTTCAGTGCTCCACAATGTCAGAGCGCAAGTTTGAAGTGTGCATTCATGGTACTGCAAAAAATCTGAATTTAGAGAGGTTACAAAAAATGATACACAAGGGGCACACAGGCAAGGAAGAGGAAAATTATCGGAAAGTTAGCAACCCTCTCTCTCTTTATCATGAGACTGCTGCTGCTGACCAGAGCTCTGTGCCTGACACAGAGTCACACATACAGGGAGACGGCTAACTAGCTAACACTACCAGGAGGATATTAACAGGTTTAATGACAGAGTGGAGTGTACAACAATTTTATTTTTTTTTTGAAGATATTTTTTGGGGCATTTTTGCCTTTAATGCACAGGACAGGTAAGTATGAAAAGGGAAAACAGAGGGGGGATGACATGCAGCAAAGGGCCACAAGCTGGATTCGAACCCGGGCCGCTGCAGCAACAGCCTTGTACATGGGGTGTCTGCTCTACCACTAAGCCACCGACACCCCAGAGTGTACAACTGTTTTTGAAATTTTCCCTTGCCCCTGCAATTTCATCACAAAAAATAACAACATTTATAATAACAGGCATTCCAGGCCGCAACAGTCCCAAAAAACAGCCCCAGAAATTCTTGAGAAACTGTACAATCAGGAGCGTGTGGAAGATTATTGACAATGAAAGATCTTGAAAAACACAAAACAAGTTTGAGCATCACTCCATCTGCAACATTTGAGGGCATGCAAGCAGAATTGGATTTGTGCAACTAAAACAAAACTTTCTGCTATTTTACTTTCATATTTTACTGTAAAAGACTTTATCTATGAGGGAAGCTTGAGGTCAGGGACATGGATAAAATCTGCTGTAATTTTTTTTAGTATATTTTGATATAAAACACTTTTTGAAAGACAAACCAGACAGAAATGTTTGTTCTAAAATACCTGACAAATTGAAGTACTTTAACACGTGGATATATAAGTAAATCCTGCAAAGTAATATATACATTTCCCACATAATCTCAGATGACAGAAAACATGTACATCATCATATTACCTGCACCTAAAGAAAGCCAAAACTCTCAAATGTTGAATTTTGTGTCAATACAAAAAAAACCCTTGAATTAAATGCAGTCTTAAGCTGGATAAACAAATAAGGAACTATCTGATCAACAGCTTCATCAACAAGATTATAAATCTGACCAGGTACTTTTACAGTCTTTAATACTCATTGTGACTGATGCATTGGGGTTTGATACCCAGCCCCACCAACCACAGCAAGAACCGACAGTGTTTTTATAATTTTTCATTTTCCTCATCTCCCAAGATGCCAAACTTACATGTCTGACATTAGCACTTACTTGTCCACAAAATGCCTCCAGCTTTATCCACCCCTAGGACACAAATGTCTGAGGTACAAACCCAGAAACGCAGAAGTTTGTCATCTCCTCTGAAGAAAATGGCTTCAGCTCAGGCACAGAGAGCAAAGCACAAAGTCACCTGCCACTAAGGACATGCAGTAGAATTCCAGTATGTGTTAATGATGAGGAATATTTGCAGAAAAATGGCTTCTGTAGCACTGAGTGGACAGGATTAGCCTGCTAGCCTAGCTTAACTGTTATTGTATGTTGCCATGAACACTTTGCACTAACTCTTTGACCACCTTCTCTCACTCACCACTGAAGCACTGTCTGGGTTAGCGGTGTGACGTTACCATGTCTGAAGATCTAAGATGTTCATTTCTGATTTCGGTCTTTGACTTTCCTTTCACCTTTCTGCTCACCTTGAAGTCATTTTTGGAATGTGACGTTAATGTTAAAGACACTCACTTTTCACTGTGGTGAAGGACTGATTTTTGTTGTCTAGATGACGTTGACAGAGTTGAGAGCAGTGATCAGAGTAGCTTTTGTAGACCTTTTATAGTCCAAAAAAGCAGATATGCAAGAGAAACTTGTTTGATTTTTAAAAGGTTTTATTGTTTTATTTTGTTATTTTAATTCATTTATTTATTAAAACTGACATCATAAAGTATGGTTCTTGACTTTGAACAACGATGGAGCTATACCTTAGTGACCCATCCTCAGAATATGAAACAAAAACAGCTCCTTATAAAAGATAAAATGTAGTATCGTAGTCATAAACAAATGCAAACACGTCCTTGTTTTTTAATCATCTTAAATGTTTAGAAAATAACACCACAATTTAGGCTTTTTTTTCCCCTGCAAAGCAGGAATTTCAATCTGGCTGGGACAGGCTTGTGATGGAATGTTTTGGGTGAATAAATGACCCGAAAGCAACAAAGACTGAAAAAATTACATTTTTATTAGAATTTAATGCATTTATTTCCATCTCAACCAAATTGCTGTTTCTTTAGGAAAAATATTTTGTGTTAAATCTTTTAGATCTGTGCTCCATCCATAAATGTGTGTTGTTATACATATGATTCATTATTCTAACCATTTAAAGTTACAGAAAAACAAGAGTTTAAACGGTTACCTGTTTTTTATTTACACACAAATTTGCTTCTTCTGTTCCATTTGGAATAAGCTCTTTGTATAGATTATGGTGAAATAAAAACACATTCATAATTGTAAGTTTCCTGTAACTTTAACTGACTAAACATCTGCAGAGTTCATTTATTTCTGTACCAGAAAGTGGCATCCAACGTCCAACCAATAAAACATGATGAGTTTTTTAAAATAAAAGTACAAATTAAAAGATAATTGTTGCAGCTTCAATAAAATCTTGATCAGATCTTGTGATTGTCCCACAAAAGTAAATTCTTTTTTGCAGCAAGACAGCATAAAGACACAACATGAAATATGAAACAAACAGTAAAAAACACACTAAGAAAACTGAAGCACAGAACCTACAGAACCACCACCACAAAACCACCTTAAATTTTAATTCCTAACCTCCTTCGTCAACCAGGAATATTCTGAAAAATTAACTTTTCAAACTGTTTAAATCATTTTCTCCTCCTTTTTTTCTTCTTCATTGGTGGAGTTTGACCCTCCATCGTCATGGTAACGTCACATTGCTGAAATTTGTTCTTCACCTTCTGCCAAACTGCCTCTCGTTCCGTCCGAGGGCGTCTTCTTCATTGTTGGTGCTACAAACTGCAGGGCTCGGCCCTCACTGTTTTCCATCCTGTGATCGCAGATCTATACAAAAAAAAACAAAAAAAAAAAAACATTTTTTCTGTCAATGCTCACACATCAAGGTGTGATTATGTACGTGTGTGTGTGTGTGTGTGTGTGTGTGTGTGTGTGTGTGTGTGTGTGTGTGTGTGTGCGCGTTTCCCTCCGTCCTGTGACAACGAGAGCTTCAGGTCGTGTAAAGGGTGGCCAGAAAAAAAATTGACTGTTAAAACAATATCTGTTGCATGATGGGAAAGTGAGTCTAACCACTTGTCCTTTGCCACGTGAGTGCAGCCTAGCTTACAGCACTACTCATAGTTAATAATTAAAAGGAGCACTAATGATGCTAATAAGTCATTTTTTATCACTTAAGTGAAGTGCGAAAATGTAGAAAAACATCTCAACTAAGATGTCTCGGTCTCCCTTTAACCGCCAAGCCTCAGCCCTTTTCAGACAGAACTGAAACAAATGAAAAGTTGCACTGTTAAAATTTAAAAAGAGAAAGAGAAAGTCCTTGTATGTTATGAAATTATTGTGATATGTGTTGAGAAAATACATTGACAAATATTTCTGTAACTTTCTGCTTCATCCTTGCACTTGGCTGGAGGCTGACTCAGTAGTGTCAGATTTATTTTTATTGGTCAGAATAATAATTCTTGTTTAAAGTATTTAACAGAGAGTTTATGAATAAAGAGAGAAACACTCTGTTATATTAAAGTTGTAGTAACTGGAGGGATTTGGAGAGACTGAACTAGACGTTCAAAGCAACAATTCACTTGATGGGCAACAGCAACAGGAAGCACTTCTGTTAAGGCATCAGTACACCTCTACTTAACTAATTCGTATGAAAACTAGACTGGACTTGTTGGTCTTGATTTGGGACTTGTTGGTTTTGACTGTGGACCTGTTGGTCTTTACTTGGGACTTGTTCTTGACTTGATATGGGAAAAGTGGTCTTAGGACTGTTGGATGAGACAAAAAGCACTTCATTTGAACTTGACTCTGTGTCTTGACTTGTTAGTCTTGACTTAAAATTTGTTGGTTTTGACTCTGGACTTGTTGGTATTGACTTGGGACTTGGTAAGGGTCTTGTTCTTGACTTGGGAGTTGATTTTATTATTAATTCTGACATGGAAATGGTGGCCTCAGGACTGTTGCGTGATACAAAAAGCACTTAATTTGAACTTGACTCTGTATTTTTGACTTGTTGGTAGTGACTTTGGACTGGGTAAGGGACTTGCTCTTGACTTGGGAGTTGATTTTATTATTAATTCTGACATGGGAAAGGTGATCATAGGACTGTTGGGTGATACAAACAGCACTTCATTTGAACTTGACTCTGTATCTTGACTTGTTGGTTTTGACTTGGAACTTGTTGGTTTGACTCTGGACTTGTTGATATTGACTTAGTCGTATTGACTTGGGACTTAGTAAGGGACTTGTTCTTGACATGGGAGTTGACTTTATTCATACTTCTGACACGGGAAAGGTGGGCGATGGTGCTGTTGGATGATCCAAGCACTTTTTTTAATGTAACTTTCGGTTTTGAATCTTGACTTATTGGTCTTGACTTGGGACTCAATTAGGGACTTGTTCTTGACTTGGGAGTTGACTGTATATATAATTCTGAAATTAGAAAGGTGTTCTTTGGTGCTGTTGGGTAATATGACAATCACTTTATCTGAATATGACTCTTGACTGAATCTTGTCTTGTTCGCATTAAGCTTGTTGGTTTTGACTTCATAATTAATTCTGACTGGGGAAAGTTGGTCAGCTCCTCCTAACTGTACGAGATGCAAACAAACAAGTGAGTGAACATCAGGTTGTTCCGTTTTTCGCACTGAAGATGTCCTAACCTGCTCCGTGTGTCAGCAAGTAGGCCAAGCAATTTGTCATTTATTTGAAAAACAGCTCACCCTGGCTCTATTTTGGCAAAGCTTCACACTCCTCCAACCTATTTTCAGAGCAACAGCAAGCTGCTTCTGAGGCTCGCTCAGGGCTCGATACAGCTCTTGGATGTTGTTATAGCTTGTAGTAAATCTGGACAATTTTTCCCGCTCCATTCACCAGACAAAAAGCACTTTGAACTTTACTTGGAGGTTGATGATCTTGACTCTAGACTGGACTTGTTTGTCTTGACATATTTTTGGCTTGGAACTTGGAACTAAGAAACTTGATCTTGACTTTGGAGTTGACTTTATTCTGACATTGGA